CACCCGTCTCCTCTTCCTTCTTCTTGTCCTTTACCTCTCTGTACTTTTGTATGGACAGTGGATGTACTTGAAAATGTTCCCTAAGTGATAATATGTTGCGAAATGTAAAATGATTTGCTGGTTAGGATACCGGCATTTAGTTCTTCCTAAAATTATTTAAGTCAAGCTGGAGGCAGTTTTCTCTCCCTGCATTGTGTTGTTTTCAGTCTACGACCAAAAGAGATAAAAGCAAAAATTGGAAATACATCAGATTTGGCGAATCCTTGCTCTTGGGTACCACAGATCTATGCATGGCAAGAAGCAGACCTATAACACGCCAACCTCCGATAGCTTATTTAGCCACAGCTACCAGTAAAATTCAGAAAATCTTTCCAGAAACACTACAGAGTTTCTCGCGGTTTGCACCACCATTTCAATAATATTGACCGATTTTAAGATTTAGGGTCTACAGGAATCTGATGAACATCATGGCGCACAAAAAATGGTGCTTTTCAAACCATTTTTGAAAAGCACCATTTTTTGTGCACCAGAAAGAAGCAAAAGTAGTAGTTAGCGATAACTTGTTTTATTAGCATTACTTTTATCAGTTGCTCTCTGCACCAGTCTGACAGAGCTAATCTATGCTCTCACTGGCTGCATGGAATGGAAAGTATCGACAAATTTTTGTAAGCAGAAAACAGCTTTGCAGGAAAATACAAGAAAATCCAGAAATTTGCTTTTTTTGGGAAATTTCAGAAAAATTTGAAAAATTGCTTTTTTATAGAATTTGGAAAATAAATTCGGGATGCTTCTCGAGAAAATTCGAAAAAAAAACAAGAAAATCGCTTCTTTTTTTGGAATTAGGGGAAAAACCCAAAAACTCGCTTTATCTGAAAATTTCAAGAAAGTCACGAAAGCTGCTATCAAAAAAACTAAAAAGTCCAGGAGTTTGCCTTGGAAAAATTTTAAGAAATTCCACGAATTCGATTTTTAAGAGAAATTAAAAAGATTCAGCAAGTTGCATTTTTAGAAAAGAGCCTGGAAAAATCCAGAAAATCATTTTTTCGACTTGAAATTCCTACCCTTTAGGAAGTCAGAAACTTCTTCTGCTCCTAGTCCTAATCACAGTCGCACTTCAAATGATACTCTGAATTTCTTTTAAAATTGTCCAAACTTTATCCATACTTGCTCTAATACTTTGATTAATGCATTTCATCGTAGCCTTCCAACTATTCCTTTGGCAACTTTTCTATCAGCTTTGACAACTGCTGCACTGCCCAGTGGTCAACCTGTTTACAACTCTGACGTTCCAAAAAAGCAGATATTTCAGGTCTAAAAAGGGTGTTTCTGGGCCCCCGTTTTGCTTCAGGAGCGGATTACCAGATCAGTGAATTTAACCGTTTTGTAATGTAACTGAAGTGTGTTGAACATCATCATATCGTCTAGGACAATGCTACTCGTAGATCACGATGAAGTGCCGCGCCGATTGGAAGAACGAAGTTCTGTGAAATCGAAAAAAAAAATTTTATTAGGTAATATCAAATACTTTTAGA